AGTTCTTGACGCTGGCGCAAACTGCAAAACGGTAGGCTCGCAAATCGCGGCCCAATTTCTCTGCCAGGGTTGGGCACGATGCCATGATTTGGCACTTCTTTTTGGAAACAACCAGCTCGAGCTTCTCTAACTGCCCGCAGAGATCTGGAATAGCCTTGGCCAGCAGGGCCCGTGCCCTCTGCGCCGAGCCAATCGCTGCCAGAGTTATATCATCTACCATGACATGCAGGGTGAGGGGCGGCCATCTCGCCTGCATGTATTCCAAAGCATATTGCACCACAACTCCGAGCATCGTCGTATGATGATGCTAGAGATGACCTCCCGAACTTTGAGCCTTCTGGGGCATACATGAACCATGAGGAGCAGACGGGCCCTTATGAGGTTTAACTGGTGCTTCTTACACGACTGCCAAATTACGTCGTGAGGAGTCTTCTCGTAGCATTTCTCTAAGTCGACCAAGCCTGACCCAGAGCACGCGCCCACTGAGGTTGCTGCCTCCGATAATGCTGCTTGCTGCCACACGGCCCGCTCGCAGCTCTTCCTTTTCCCTCTGTGCACGCACGTAAGATCATGATCCCTCTCCCACTTCTGTGCTTCATCCCTCCGTAACCTCCCGAGAATACGGATACATGTTGCTAGCGCTCCTACGGGTCGAAACCCGCCGTCGGGCTTCTTGAGGAAAGCGATCAGCGCGAGGTTGCACTGATCTAGGATCAAAAACTGTGATTCTCTCACCGACACGAAAAGGCCAAACACCTTCAAGGCATCGTCGCTGAGGAGCTGCAGGACCTCCTGGCTCCACCCGTCGATGCCTATCGCGGTGCCTCTCTTGAATTTCTTCAGAACTGACCTGATATGTTCAGCTGTCGGGGCTGGAGGTGGGGCCTCTAATGGCACCTGAAAGTCGCCGCTCTCGAGCCTCCGGGGTTCTCTTGCCTGCCAGATCTCCTTCCACTCCAAGACGAGCTGCTTAGCGGTATCCACTGCCCCAGCTGGGCCCTCCGTAGGCCCCAGGGGGTCAGGGGCCCACCCTTGCGGTTCCTTGGTCCATTTGTAGAGCCCCCTTCCTCCAGTTTCCAGGGATTTGTTGACCCAAGACCCAAGTCCTCCACTCCTGCGTCCTTTTCTTCTTAAACTCCGCCTCCTCCGAGTCGGCGATGGCCCGCGCGGCGTCCAGAGCGGACTGCGCGTCCTCGATGCAGCTATGCGGACCTAGCCAAAGGCCGTCGTGAAATTCTCGCCAGCCTGAGTGGCCAAACAAGGCCGGATGCCTCCAGTGGATTTGGCCAAGAAGATTTTGAACTCCTCGTTCATCCCACGAGTTGTTCTTGCCCAGGAGAAACCCCAGCTCCTCTAACCACACCTGGCACTTACGAACAGCCCGAGTTTCTTTCGAAGACTTTGGAAACGGGCCCTTGATGTGTTCCAGAATCGTTTTTTTGTTCCACGACTTTCTAGCCAGTACCCCTCCCCAGATACTTGGCCCGTTGGTCCGATGGAATACTCAACACATCGCAAAGCTCGGCCTCCATGCGATCGCACAGCAGGCCGTGCATGTCTGTGAAACCCTTCGCCGACGTCTGGCCAGCGAAGCTCTCGAATAATTCTGGAAGACCTTTCCAATCCTGCGGCGGTGGGGCTGGTCCTATCGGCCTCTCGACTGGGGACGGCATGGGCAACTTTAAACACTGCTTCGTCTGGGTGTGGGCGTGGACCCCCAACTCCAAACGCACAGGATAGTTAGTTAGTCTGATTGGCTGAGTTCACAACTCGCTGGCACGACTTGACTTCTCCGACCAACTCATGTGAAACTATAAAGAAATCAAACTCCCTCCAGACCTTCCCGACACGACAAGTGGGTTTGTTGCAGCTTACGATGATCCCCCTCATCCTGGAAACGGCCTGGGACTGCTGGACCTCTGATGGCAAACTGTTGAAATCTCTCGAGACGATGAACGGCTTCCGAGACGCATATAAGAATTCTCCCAATTGGTTCATTAGTTGCTGCCCTCGCGCTCCTAGGATGCCTTCACCATCTGGAAGATATACTGATGCTAAGTAGAACCCACCCTTCACGCAGCCGTTCACCCACACGATCGAACTGCGAGGATGGAGAAGGTGAGAATGATGACCCTGGACTTGTCCCACTCCGACGTGACTGCGAACACTGATGCCGACGCCAGACGAGACTCCCCCAAATTCCGTTTGCACAGCAGGTGACAACCGAAGCTCCCACCCTTCGCTCGACATGGATTGCTCCTTCTGCGAGTTACTACCCTTCAAAACTCCACACTCTTGGAGGCAGATAATGGAGTCTTCTCGCACTTGGGGTCCGTGAGGAGAGAAGCCGTGCCAGACCATCCTGACGTATTCGCTGTGACGATTCGCCACACCGATCTAGAATTGGTATTCTTCTCTGATTTTGTCTTATTCAAATAAGACGTACTACTCTGGGCATCCAGCCCGCTGCTAAAGGCCCGACATGCCAGCCGTAGGCGCCGCTGCACCGCCTTTGCCAGCACCTGGGCCCTTGCCGTCGATGAGCGGGTGGCTGCCCAGCAAGCGGCGCGCATGTTCCTGCATCTATGCCGACGACTTGGCAATGCCCTTGCCTGCCGCCTTCGCCGCCGCTGCTGGCGCCGCCGCTGGCGGCGCTGACGGCGCCGCCGCAGCCGCCGCCGTGCTGGAGTGCTGGGAACTCGCCGCGGCCCCCGCACCTGCGCCTGGCTGCGCGGCCTCGGCAGCGCCTTGCCCTGCGGGCTGTCCGTCAGCGGCTGGCTCCTGGCGGCGCCTCTTCGACTGCAGTCTGGTCTTGAGCTCCTCGTGCTCCTTCCTGCACTGCTCTGCCTTCTGCTTGAGGTCTCCGAACAACGTCTTGGCGAGGGTCTGGAATTGTTATTGAATCGCTTCGCTCATTCCGCCGGCCCGTGATATGGCATCGCTGGTTTTTGTCTGTGTGTTCGTTGCCCATGTTGCGCTCTTGGGGGCGGGTGTCGTTCGGACGCGTTGCGTGGGGAGTTTTGATGGTGAAGCAGTTCCCTGGGGGTCGTCTCTCGATGGGGCGAAATAGAGTCGTCGTCAAGATGCTTCTTTGGGGGGCCTCTTGGGGTCTGTTGAGAGGCCGTTCGGGGGCGCCTGGGAGACATGTTTGAAGCCTTCTGGGGCTTCTTTTGGGCCTCCTGGGAGTCTCCTGGGGCCTCTTGGCGACATCTTGGGGCCTCTTGGAGGCCTCTTGGGGCCTCTTTGGGACCTCCTGGGCGCCTTCTGGGACGGAGGGCTCCATTTTTGAGTTCTCGGTATCCCTCCTGAGTCCCTCTTGGGCCCGTCTTGGGGCCTCTTGGTCCGTCTTGGGCGGCACTTGGGCCGTCTTGAGGGCTCTCTTGGGTCGTTTCGGCGCCGTCTTGGGAGCTTCGTGGGCCGTCTTGGAGCGGTCTTGGGGGCCTCTTGGGCCGTCTTGGAGCGTCCGGAAGCCGAAAAATCCAGAACACAAAAAACATCGAAAAAAACCAATGAAAATCAACGATTTTGGCCTCTTGGGGCTCTCTTCGGAGGCCTCTTGGAAGGCTCTTGGGGCGTCTTGGAGGCCTCTTGGGCTGTCTTGGGGGCCTTTTGGGCCGTCTTGGGGTCATCTTCGGCGTCTTCGAGCGCTCTTTGGGCGTCTCGGGGGCCTCTTGGGCAGTCTTGGGGGCCTCTTGGGGCACTCTGAGCGCGCTCTGGGGAGCCTGAGAGGCCGCACCCAGAAGGAAAACCATCTCTGAGTAGACTTGGTCGGGCGGCGGTCGGGCGGCGGTCGGGCGGCGACCGGGCGTTGGTCGGGGTACTTTTCGCCGGGGGACCCCCAGGGGCCGCCCCGCGCGCGCGAACTAGAAATACTGTTAATACTGTTAACCAGTTACCGGAGATCTTAGCACGCCCTGGCCCGTTGGGCCGGCGAATTTGAGGTGCTCCTCGCGCTTCCTCGCCTCCTCCTTGTCCGAATCCTCGACACCCACGAACTCCGCCAAACCGAACAAATCCTCCCCGCATGACAGACTCCATTCCTGAGCGCTGCCCTCCAGCAACGCCTCCAGGCTGAGCGTCGGCAACTGCGGCGGTTGGGGCGGGGCGGGCGGCACGACGACAGCGTGCAGCTCCTTCATCGCCTCCTTGTAGATGCCCTCCTGTGTCTCGATCTGGTCCAGGAGCGAAGTGACCTTCGCCCCTTGCTCCTCGACCCGCTTCTGCAGCTTCTCCAGCTCCCCCGACTGGACACCAAGGTCTGCCTCGAGCTGCCTGATGTATTTGTGCGCCTGGTCCGCCCTGACCTGGGGGGGACATGCTGCTTGTCGCGGATGGCCAGCACTTGCTGGTAGTACTCAACCATCTGGGTGTTGTTGCTCTTCTCGCCGAGCTGGACGAGCTGCTGCAACTCTGGCACCGGCAACTCTGGCACGGGGTCCGAGCTGTGCTGGATGAGGCCTGGCTGAATAGGTGGTCCATGAACGCCTGCAGCGCGACCACCACCCAGACCAAGCGGAGTCGCCAAGCCCTTGCCTTTGCCGCTGGGTTTCTGGGCTTTGCCTGACCGCCAATGCCGATGACAATGCTTGCACCAGTGCTCGTTCCTGGGGTTCTTCCCGCATCCGCATTGTGAGCATTTCCAGACGGACGCGTCATGCCAGCCTCCTGCCATTGCGCGTCCGCTCGGAAGCCTGCTGGATCTGAGAGCGAAATCTTGCGAGAGAAACTTGCCCTCACCCTGGGCAGGGCTGCTGATCGAGGGTCTGGCGGGTCCCTTGACCACCTTGAGCCCCGACCCCTGGGAAGGCGAAGGCCCCAGGCAACGGCCTTGAGCCAATGGCTACGGATCTCCTTCTCCTTCTCCTCCTCCTCTTCTTCTTCCTCCTCCTCCTCCTTCATCTCCTCCTCCTCCTCCTCCTCCTCCTCCTCCTCCTCCTCCTCCTCCTCCTCCCCCTCCTCCTCCTCCTCCTCCTCCTCCTCCTCCTCCTCCTCCTCATAAGGTGCGGCAGATCTCCTCGCCCCATGAGCGGCGCAACCGCGTCCTGGAGCAGCTCGAGAGCATGCAGGCCCAGTTCGGATGGCTTCAGCCGTTCGGGCAGGTGTCCCAGGCGAATCCTGGCAACGTGCTGTTCGGGAAGCTCCAGGTCCCCGCCGGCGTCTTCGGCGAGGGTCAGACAGTCAGCCCCCCGTCGGGAACAAAGATCATCACGACGCTCCAGAAGAGTGGCCCGTTCCGCCTGGTGGTCGGCCCGGCGGGGCCGCCGCGGCTGCGCGCCATCCTGATCGGCAGCCCGAGCCCGAAGGAGCGCCAGCGGGCCAGTGAGATCCTGGCCCAGGCACGCGAAGCGCTCTCGGACATGAAACTGGAGACGGAGTACAAAGGTGGCTGCCGTAGTAATTCATGGGAGCCTGGTATACAGTCGACCCGCATAGTAAGGATAGGCATCCCTCCCAAGGGTACCCTTGCATCCTTGCCTCCTGGGTCCATCCTTGGACACTTTCGTTGGCCGCGCCCCGCTCGAAGCGCTCTTGCATCCTGATCGCGCATCCTCACTATTCGGGTTGACTGTACCATCTGAATTCCGTCTTCAGCGTCGATCTAGCGTCGATCCAGCGTCGATGAGCGTTCTTTTGGTTTTTCACGAGCGTCGATTCTGCGTCGACTGGCGTCGATTCGCAAGAGCCGATAAGATGGCATGGGCGGCTCCCACGACTTGCCACCGAAGTTGGCGACGACGAGGTCGTGGAGTGGAGCGACCTCGACTCCCTCTCCGGAGCCCTGGCCATGGCAGGCGTGGGGCAGAACGACGCTGTGATACTGTTCGGGTCGGGCTCACTGCAAGCCAGGGAGTCCGCGGTCCGCGAGCGCATGAAGCAGGAGTGCCTGGACTGGGGGCCCGACGACTCCCGCCACCTGGCCAGCCAGGAGAGTGTTTTTCTACCCTCTGGGCCATAACGCGCGTTATGTACCCCTCCCCCATCCCTATCACCTAACGCTCCCCCCCTGAGTGCGTCCCCAGCCCTGCCCCACAGTTTGGAGGGGGCGGGGGGCGCTACGTTTGCCCCCTCCCGCACCCCCCCCAATCACGCCCGTCATGGCCGCGAGTGAAAAGCTGCGCGCCAGTGGGCTTCCATCCGCAACTTGGCCGCCTGGGGGAACGACAATAAGGCCAAATACTCCCTGATGAACGTCTGCATGGGGCTGCTCGCCAAGCTCGGCCACGCGCCCTTCGGCATCGACGTCTCGGGCTGGCGCTCGGGGCAGGGCGGGCAGCGGGGCATGGTCGTCGCGGGCTACGATGTCTGCCACCTGGCCCACAAGGCCGTCCACGTCGCCGTCGGGCAGCGCGTCGAGACCGAGGATCGGGGGAACGTGAGGCTCGAGTAAGACAGCACTCGAGTTTGCCGAAGTGTGCTGACGAGCGCGTCCTGGATTTTGACGGTCAGCGGGAGCCCGCGTCAAATTTCAGAATGGGTCTCGTCATTTTGATGATGGCCTCTCTCAGGCCAACCCGAGTCCTCCATGCCCGAGTCTTAGGTCTCCCCGAGAGGATGCAAGCAAATCCGTGGCGAGCAGGATCATTGCCAACGTCAAGCGCATCGACGGAGATCGAAAAAGAGAAAGCGCCATACACATAAATTTTGGGGGCTCCGCGCGGATTTCTCGGGGGTCCAACGCAGATCCAAGAAATCCGCGCGGAGCGCCACAAGTTTATGTTTGTGCAATGTTCCTTCTTTTAGGAGAGACTGTGGACGCGGAGATGCTGCGGAAGATTGTGCCGCTGGAGGTCGCGAGTGGCAAAGTGGTCTTCGTCCACAGGGATGGTCGCCTGCCGACCGACGAGGTGGCGAGCTGGCAGAAGTACTACGAGGAAGAGCTGAAGGCCACGGGGGCCACTCTGCTGCTGATCGAGATCGTGAAGCTCGTGGGCGGAGTGCCGAGGATGTACACAAGCAGCCCCAGGGGCGTTCGGAATGTTGACGAGGGAACCTTCGTGCAGTGGTCGGACAGCAATGCCTACATTGCCACGACGTCGGGAAGCCAATCGGGGTCCGGAACCGTGAACCCGCTCAACATCCACTTGCGAATGACATTGGGCGAGGCGCCAGACGTCGCTCGCAATGCTTGGATCCGCAGCATCTTCGATCTCAGCTACCTGCATCACGGCTCCGTCTTCAAGGCGCCGAAATTGCCGATGACGACCTACTTCTCCGACCGGTTGGCGTACATGGTGGCGAAGGGTGACATCACGTGGGACGAGAAGGTTCGCGGGCGATGCTTCTCCCCCAGTCCCCGAGCTCCGCCCGAAGAGTTTGGCCGCTCAGACAAATTGGGAAACCTTGGGATACGCTCCAAGGGGGCTATCCGGACGCACCCCCCCGCATCGAGGGTGGAAGCCCCCCCCCCCCCCCGGCGTACGTCCCAGGGACGGGCCCCGAATGTCTCGTCCATTCGCAATGTCCTCGGAGCCTGGGAGACAGTCGAAGCGCTGCCACATTGAACCCTGAATAAGGAACGAGGCGCCCTTTCTGCCACAAGTTAGACTTCGAGGTCCGTCAGAAGACCTGAGGGAAGACCTGACACGAGTTGCAAAACAAGTATAACAAACACTCAGCCCCTCCACAACGAAAAGGGTGTCCCTTGAGCGGCCCGAATTTGCGGCGGCGAGCGAGGGGGGAAGTGAGAAGGAGAAGGCTTTCTCAGAAGGCGGCGGGACTTCTCAGAAGCCCTCGCGATTTGCGACTTCTGAGAGCTGTTCTGTGCCTTCGGGGAAGGCTTGTGAAGACCCGGGGACCTCCGAACTTTCTGAGAAGGCCTTCACCTCCTCACTTCCCTCCCAGGCTCGCCACCGAGTAGAAGAGGAGGAGATGAAGGAGGAGGAGGAGGAGGAGGAGATGGAGGAGGAGATGGAGGAGGAGATGGAGGAGGAGGAGGAGGAGGAGGTGATGGAGAGGAGAGGAGGAGGAGGAGGAGGAGGAGGAGATGAGGAGGAGATGAAGGAGGAGGAGGAGGAGGAGGAGGAGGAGGAGGAGGAGGAGGAGGAGGAGGGAGGAGGAGGAGGAGGAGGAGGAGGAGGAGGAGGAACAGGAGGAAGGAGGCTCCCCCTGTGGGGGTCGACGCATCCCCTGCCGAAGGTCGAGCGGAGGATGAGCAGCTCGCAGCAGCCCTGGCTCTGAGCGCCCCGCCTTGCCCAGGGGCGCCCCCTCGCAGACCCCCTGCGCGGGGCGGGGCGCGGGCGGGGCCGAGCGCCCCCTCCCGCGCCACTCTGGCCCGGAGCCAGGCCACTCGCAGATGGTTGGGCGCCGCGTAATGGGGGGGTCATAAATGGGGGGGTGTCGCGGGTGGTCCGAAAAGGTACCCAAACGGTACCTAAACGAGCCCCCTGGAGCTCCGGAGGGGCCCGAAAGGGGCACGAAAGGGGACCTTTTCTGACCCCCCCATTTGTGACCCCCCCATTAAGCCACGCCCAAGATCGGCCGCGGGACGGCGTCCCAGAAGGCGGGCGCGGCCCGGGTGGGGGGGAGGCTTGGCAGGGGGAGGAGAGGGTACCAGTACGACCGCTGCCCTTCCCTCGCGTTCGCCTTCTCGGGCCTCCTGGGAGACCCTCGTCGCCACCGCTGGATTCGCCTCGAAATCCTGGTCAGAACGCTCCCCAGGAGAGGTCCTAGGAGTAGCGGTATTGGTACCTTTTGGTTTCCCCACGCGCAGACCCAGACATGCTCGCACGTGATCGGTTCCTTATTCCTTGTTTTGCCGATCGGCGCGGGCCCTCGCCCCCCTCCCCCCCTCCCATGGAGTGGATCTTGGCTGTTTGTGGCGCCTGCTTCGAGCAGGTGAAGTCTCCCTCATAGGGCGCACTGTCGCAAACAGTCGCATTAAGCAAAGGTCCTGAGCCAGACTCTCCCCCTCCCCCCCCCTTCCGCTCAGTGTCGAAACGCCGAACAAGAAAACTCTCACCATCGTGACAAAAATCAGGATGGCATGTTTTTGGCCGTTTTCGGCTTTGGGGGGCCCTCACTGGGCTTCGGGGACGAGTAAGTATGAAAAGCCCGATCCCGGGGAACGGGTCGGGACTTCCAGGGACCGCGCATGGAAAAACATCAAGACGTCGCATGTTTGGGGAGGGGGGGGAAGGGAGAGGGGGGAAGGCTTCTTGTTGGATCTTATGGGGAAAAACCATGGAAGGCTTGTCCAAACGGGGTTGTGTCCTGGGGGGGGTCATTCCCGTTGGGTTGTCCAAGGGGTCTGGGGTAGCCCGCATTGTCGTCATGAGTCGGCATAGGTTGTCTGGGTTGTCCGGGGGGGTCAGGGGAATTTCTTCGATTGGATTATTTTTTGATTGAACATAGTAGAGGCACCCAGCGTTTCAGAAGGCGCGGGCCTTCTCTGTAGATACAGGGCCGGTGCCTTTTGAGGAGCAGCCTTTCGGAGGATGCGTAATGTAATGGGGGGCCAGCGAGGCCTGCCGAAAAGGAGCCCTTCAGGGCCCCTCAAGTGGCCCTTTCCGGCACAGGAGGAGGAGGAAGAGGAGGAGGAGGAGGAGGATAGAGGAGGAGAAGGAGGATAGAGGAGGAGGAGGAGGAGGAGGAGGAGGAGGTGGACGAGGGGCCGAAAAGGCCACCTTTCTTCCCTCCCATTTATCACCCCCATTAATTAATTCGCGCCCAAGCCTTCTAAGAAGGCTGCCCCCCTCCCACCAACCCCCTGTGTGCGCGCCGCCAGCCCTCTGGGCTCTCCGGCCTGGAGCCAATCCAGTGATCCAGTCGCAAAACCGGAGAAGGCCTGTAAGACATGAGGCTGCTGTTCGGCACGAGCGACATGGGTACGGAAAAATGGGTACGATGTCCAACAGCTCGAATAGGGGATCGAGCACATGACTTCTTTATCCCTGGAGTGATTTTCTCGCCGAGTCTATGCATAAAACGTAGAATTATCTTTGTACGAGCATTATACGAACTGTTTAATTGCTTCGGCGAGAAAAACAGTTTCTGGGTAGGCAGCATTATGTAGTCCACCCCTACTCGAGCAGCAGCTCTTGTTCATTTCGACCGCGGGCGTCGTCCATTTGATACAGAAGGCCGCCTGCCCATCGGGTGCCGCTGCCGGTTGTGGACAGCATCGTGCCAATTTGTTTCCGTACCCCTTCCGTGCCCCCGTTTTCCCGTTTTGGTCCGCGGACATGGACTTCTGATACGCTCCAATTTTTGCAGGAGTTTGAGCAGTACATCGCTGCACCTTTTTCCCTCGCTGATCTCACGGCCTCCGTTGATTACCAGCAGCTCTCATCTCACTTTGCCTATACCAGTGTCGAGTCTACTCCAGTTTCGAGAGACTCAGCGCCGAACGTGTGAATGGGATACATGCTGCCAGGGTCAGCAGCATGTCAGGGGCACATGTCGCGCACTGTTGCCATCGTTCCAAATAATCTCCAAAGTTGGGGATCTTGCTGTAGCGCTTGGGGAAGCGCCTGTTCCGAACACCCATCCGTGGGCGCAGCTTGGCTCCTTCTCCTCCTCCGCCTCCTTCGCACGCTCCTTCTCCGTTTTCTCCCGCTTCGCCCTGGATCTTCATAGATACGGATCGAGAATTGTTTGTTGGTTGTGAAAAATTGTCGCCATGGCATAAACAACCTGTTGAGATTTCAATTGCGTAACCCTGCGCTTGCGCTGAAGTAAAGTGCCATCTGACATACCAGCCAGCGTGGACCTCCAAGAGTTGCGGTTCTAGTAATATAGTGTGCTCGTTCTACGCGAGGAATCTACGTGGTGCAAGACATCTGTATATGTATATATCGATATATGTATACGCAAATGGGGTGGTGTACAACACACACGTACATACATACATACATGCATGCATGCATGCATGCATACATACACACATACATACATACATATATATATATATATATATGTATGGATTCGTATGTAGATGGTGCAACCTTCGTTGTGCAATGCATGTCCTTCAGTTCAAATGGACAACCTATATACTGCAATGACACATACGTGGTGCAAACAATGTGATGCAGCCCACGTGGTACAATTCACCCTGCCGGACAGAAGTTGTGTCAAGTCCACGGCCAGCGCAAACATCCAACCCACCCACCCGCAACTTGGTTTGCAAAACCCATTCGGCGGCGATTGCGAGGAGTGCTCGGCGTTGGCTGGTGATCTCTGCTGCCGCACTGCCTGTGCATGCTCGCGCGCGCCGCGACCAGCTAGTGTGGCGTGACCGACGCGGTCGCGGTGGCGCTGACCGCTGGGCACATTTCCAGCGGGCATGCCGATGTGCGTCGGTTACTCTTGGGCGGGCGCGGTATCATGCCGACGCCGACAGCAATAGACACGATAATGAGAGTAGCGGTGATGGTGACGATGGTGACGATGACGACGGCAAGCCCAATGACGGCGCCGATGCTGATCACGCCCGCCGATAACGATGACGATTTCCTCGCGTCGGTGATGGCGATTTTCGAAGAGTTCGGCACGCGCGCGCGGCTGGCGCTCGCGAGGGGCCCGCGTGGTATTATTTGGGACGGCTCGCGCCCTCCAGCACGAGCACGAAGGGCGAGCGGATGAGTTCGACATGTGGCGCAAGAGGCCTGGTTGGCAGCGCGCGCGCATTATTTGAAAACGTACGCTACCAAACCCTTTTTGTGTTTATATATTCTCGGAACACTTATTGTTGAAACCTTTCACGAACCCGAAGATGTTTGAAGGATGTCAGGGACGACGCGCTCGCGCGCACTTCGTTTCATCATGTTGCAAAGGGTTATTGCGACAATGCGCGCGCAAGGGCGTCCGAGCGGTTTTGACACGCGCGCGCGCGAAAGGCCCGATGGGTAGCATTGCATGGCAACCTCGGAAACAAAACGATGGTTTCCTTAAGCATTCGCAAAAGCGTGGGCGTGGGCGTTTGTCCTTCAAGAACGTTTGTTGCGAACCCCTGCGGTTTCTTTATGTTTTCGGCACACTGGATTTTGAAATCCTTACGGAACCTGAGGTTTCTGAATTTGGCATGCGCGCGCGACGACGCGCGCGTGCGCATTGTGCCTTCGCTAGTGCAAGGGGTTCTTGGAAAGTGATGATGTTTGATGAACGAGCGCGCATGTATGTATGTATGTATGTATATATATATATATATGTGTGTGTGTGTGTGCTGCAGAGGCCGAGGGCGGAAACTGTTACCGACTTGCCTGGGATGGTACGAACTCGTATGTACGATGGACGATGGGGCAAAATCCGATGTAAATTGTCATACGAA